AAACCGCTTAGAGAGGGCTTAACGCCCTATGAAGCGGTATATAAGTCTAACTGCTATTGCTATAGCTATCAAGTTCAGAGAGCACCCGGGACCCCTCAATTCAACCTTAGGCTTGGTGGGGCACCCCTGGGAGAATGAAGTGAGCAGGGCAGGGGAGAGGGAAGTGCAGAAGGGGCAATGGAAGGGGGAGGGGGTGGAGGAAGTCCAAGGGCTGCATTTCCCCCCTCCCAAAGCTAGTTCAGAGCCTTGAGGCCGAGCGTCTCTCCGTCTTCCCAGGAGCTCTGAAGGAAAGACTGCAGTGGTCGCCCCCTTACCTTCTCCTCTTGGCTGAGCTCCTCCTTACTCCTGAGCTTGCATTCCGGCTCGGCGTTCTCCTCTTCCAGAAACTGCACGTTCATGTTGAGGAGCCAGGCGGCCGTGCGGTCCAGCGCATTGGGGTTCACGGGAGAAGGGGCCTGCAACGAAGGCGCCGCGTGGCAGAAAGAGGGCATCAGGCGGGAGGCGAAGGGGACACGGCTCCCTTAGTGGAACAGAGGGGTCGAGAATGGCCCTCTCCCTCAGGGGGATTCCCGCGTGTGGCTTCGGCCCTGCTGGTGTGCGGGTGCTGCTGGGCATGGAGGTTGGCACGCCTGGAGGCTGCCAGGGGTGGGAGGGCTGGGCTCGGCGGGTGGGCTTCTCACGTAGTCTCAGAGGCTTTGCTTTGGCGGAAGCAGAGGCCCCCTTCAGATGTTCTGCTGTGGGGGGTGCTTAATATGTGGACAATTAATCAGACACAGGTGAAGCCGAGGGCTCCAAGAAGACAGGCCAATTGCAAGCCTTCCTACTAAGGGGTAGACATGAGAGTGGGACATCAGTCTGGGGAAGACCCCAGTCCACAAAATAGCCATCTTGGAGCCCCAAAAGTGAGCCGTTCTGTCGAGGGGCAGCGTGGCCCACGCAGAAATTGGCGGGGTTGAAGGTGAACCCCGCTACAAGATGGACGTCATTAACTGAAAAGAAAGGGCAGAGGTGCTTCGGGGGGGGGGGGGTCAACTGCCCCCCACTGGGGTCCCAGGGCTGGGGGCAGATATGGCTCCTCCTGAATGGGCTGTAGCAGAACAGAGAGATCTCAAATGGGTATCCTGTGTGCCGGGCGAGTGGCGGGCGGAGAGAGGTGCCCAGCGAGGCCAACATGGGCAGCGGAGACCCAGGAGATGGGGAGGGGGGGTAGAAGCCAGGGTGTATCAGAGGAGCTGTGGGGGGCTCATGGCCTGGCCTGCCTCCCCACCGCCCCCAGGCTGCCCCACTCACCTGCTTGTGCATGGTGCGCTGCTTCATTTCCGGACTGTCTCCCTTGGAAGAGGAGGACTGCTGGCGCAGGCGGGCACCGCTGCCCGGCCAGTCGGGCGAGGAGGAAAGCAGGCCCCCGCTGGCCGGCCGGGGGTACTGCAAGGTGCTCAGCAGGGAAGGAGGGGTCCTGCCCCGAGTGATGGGAGGGGGCGGAGGTGGGGGCGGGGGCTGGTCTATCCGCCGCTGTGGGCCACCGCTGTTCTGCCTGGGCATCGTCGGCTGCCCACCCTTCTCGGCCACCGAGAGCTGCCGGCGGGCCAGTTCTCCAGCACGCCGGGCAAAGTCCTCTGGGACACCACCGGGGTTGCCGAAGCCGTGCTTGGTGGCCGCGGCCAAGTCTTCGCTGTTGCTGTGGGAGCTGAGTGAGCTGTGGCCCTCAGAGCCCGAGTCGGCCAGTCCCCGGGGGGAGAGCGGCAAGCCGGCCGCCATCTGGTAGACGGGGTTCTGGAAGGAGAGGGGGGCCAGCAGCTGCGGCCGGCCCGGGGCGTTCTCGGCGTTGGGTGTGGTGGGCGTCTGTGCAGAGCGTCGCACGGTGGCAGTGCCCGTGGCGCCGCTCGGTTGAGTCCGCGTGGCCCAGGCCTGCCCGGCAGAGGGATGGCTCTCGGGGAGCGCTTCGGCGGCCCCCAGCCCACCGCCCCCGCCATCCAAAAGGCGATTGTCCTGCAAGTCCACCATGGAGAGGCTCTTGCTGCCATTGGCCATCTGGACGTCGGGCTCATTGGCCTCCGAGTAGCTGGAGCTCCGGGCGGGCGACGGCTGAGCCCCCACAGACCTTGTGACAAAAAACAAGTCCTTGTTTTCAGCGGTTGGAGACGGTAAGCGTGTGAAATCTATCAGACTGTGGGGGAAATAAAAATGCATAAGGAGAAGAGGAAGGAGGAAGAGGAAGAGAAGAAGACGACGGCAACGAAGAAGAAGAAGAAAAGGAGAAACGGCAGCGAGACACACACACAGAGAGAGAAACGTGCTACGCAGAGGACAGCAAGCAAGCAAGCGCATCCCACCCGCCATGCTCAGGGGAAGGACATGCCGCTTTGCCCCCTCAAGGACCCTCACCCGCTTTTCTCCCCTGCCCTGTGGGGCACTGCAAGGCATCTGTTCTTGACAGCAGGTGCCGCGTGTGTGTCTGTGTCTGTGTGTCCTGTGCAATTGAACTTTGCCTTCCCCCACCCGTCAACCTCAGGCCCTTCTACTTTAGGGTCCCCCACAGCGCATGTGTGTGTGTGTGTGTCTCACCACAGCCAGGCCCTCCTCCCTGCTGCCCCTCCCTGCCTCCCACGGCCAGGCCTGCCCGCCCGCTCTTACCCAGAGAGGTCGCTCTCCAGGACCATCTTCTGCAGCCCCACCGAGATGCCGTTGCCGGCGTTTGGGGTGGAGGCAGACGGGTCGCTGGTGACCGAGACCTGCACGCAGGACGGGTTGCTCAGAGCCGCGTTGACGTCCCTGAGGAGGCGCGACAAGGGGCCCAGCTTGGTCGCTGTGTTCTGCAATGGAGGAAACGGCTGAAGCCCACCGGCCCCAGCGCTTCGGAGCAGGCCCAGCCGGGGGAGGAAGCTCTGGGGGGGCCCTTGGGGGCCGCTTTGGACAGGGGTCTCGCTGCCCTTCGGCTGTGAGCCAGAGGGCTTCGGGGGGTTACCTGGTCCAGCTGGGCCACCACCTCCCAGAGCAGGGAGTGCAGAGTGGCCAGCTCCCGGCCCAGGTCGATGTAGCCCTCGAAGCCGGCCGTGTTGGAGAGGGTCTCCGGGTTCGAGATCTCCAGGAGGAAGCGTTGCATGTTGGTCCATTCGTGCTCCAGAAACTGGTTCATGAAGTACATGTACTCTTCCTTGCTCCCAAACCTGTGGCAAAGCCAAGGCAGAGGAAGCCGGCTGAGGCCTGGCAGGAAGAGGCCTCCCACCGCCACGCTGGCAAAGCCGGGCAAGGTGGCCGCTGGGAGGAGCAGGGAAGGGGCCGTGGAAATGGGGAACCTGGGCCAGGCAGGCTTGGTGGAGGGAAGAGCAGCTGCAGGCTCCCCCCTTCGGACAAATGTCCAAGGGAAGCCATGATCACGGCAAGGGAGGGAGTGGGCAAAGCCGGGCAGACCCATCCCTGCCCTGGATTTTGGAGGCTGCATCTCTGCAGGTCTATGATCTTTCTTTCTCTCTTCTTCCTTTCTTTCTCTCCCCCCTCTCTCTTTCTTCCTCTCTCCCTCTCTTTTTCTTTCTTTCTTTCTCTCCCCCTCTCTTTTTCTTCCTCTCTCCCTCTTTTTCTTTCTTTCTTTCTCTCCCCCTCTCTTTTTCTTCCTCTGTCTTTTTCTTTCTCTCCCTCTCTTTCTTTCTTTCTCTCTTTCCCTCTTTCTCTCTCCCCTTTTCTTTCTGTCTATTTCTCTTTCTTTCTCTTTCCCTCTCTTTCCCTCTCTCTTTCTTTCTTTCTCTCTCCCTTTTTCTTTCTTTCTCTCCCTCTTTCTTTCTCTTTCTCTCTCTCTCTTGCTCTCCCCTTTTCTTTCGTCTCTTTCTCTTTCTTTCTCTCTGCCCTTCTCTCTCTCTTTCTCTTTCTTTCTTTCTTTCCCTCTCTTTCTCTCTCCCCTTTTCTTTCTTTCTCTTTCTTTCTCTTTTCCTCTCTCTTTCTTCCTCTCTCTCTTTTCTTTCTTTCCCTCTTTCTTTCTCTCTCTCCCTCTTTCTTTCCCTTTCTCTTTCTTGCCCACTCTTTCTTTGCCTCTTTCTTTGTCTCTTTGTCTCTTTTTCTTTCTTTCTTCCCCCTTCTCTTTTTCTTTCTTTTTCTTTTTTAAGGATAAGCAGCTCAGAACTAGCCAGGAAAGCCAGTGGAGGGATTTGTTTCCAGCAAAGCTCTGGGCTTAAGTAGCAAGCTGGCTGGGATCTGTGTCATTCCTCCCACCCCCCCAGTTGATTCTCTTGCTTTCAGAGGCTTTAAAAAATTCATAACTGGGGTGGGGGGGGACGTGTGCGTGCAGAAGGGGAGAATCTTGACACTTTCAGGTTTCTAGTCCCTATGATCTCACGAGGTGAATTTGACAGTGCCAAAGTGGCCACTCAATGACCCTTCTCCCTCCCCCCTCAACTCCAAATCAGCTGGTCAACCGAGAGGAGCCTTACTTGGCAAAATTGGCCAGGTTTTGGGTGACCTTGGCAATGAGGGTCAGCGTCCGGGCAGTGCGGTCATCCGGATACTCCTGGAGCAGGTTGAAGAGGGAGGGCGACATGATGGCCGGGCAGAGGAAGCGGAGGAAGAGGGAGGCGCTGATCAGGCGCTCGCTGATGTCCGGCCGGCCGCGGCTGCTGCACTCTTGGCGCCAGGAGGCGAAAACCTCCTTCAGCTCCCGGGGGAAGACGCTGCGGAGGGGAGAGAGGGAGGCCAGCTCCAGAGGGGCTTCGGGGGAGGAATGGCTGCCCCCAGGGGATGCCCATCTTCCCTTTCTGGGCATCTGGAGCACAACGGAGGGCACTGCCCCCCTGGGCATCTCTCCCGGAATAAAGCAGGGTCGGAAAGCATGGCTGGCTGAGGAATTCTGGGAGTTGAAGTCCCCAAGTCTTGAAGTAGCCAATGATGGGGACTCCTAGCCCAGAGGCTGCCAGATCCTTCAAGACCCTCTGCTCCTGCGTCTCAATGCTGCTCTGGTGGTTTGGCCCCAGGAGAAGCTAATAAGAGCTGAAGAGCGAGTCGGGCTGATTTTCCTGGTCAGTTGGCCACCTCCTGGCTGTTTTGCGTTCTGACCCTCCGTGGCCAAGGAAGGAAAGGCAGCCAGCAGCCTTGGGGACTGGACAAAGCAGCCCTCCGGGGACTCTGCCTGCCCTCCAGCCTCTCGGGGGTCCCAGGCACGAAGCAAACTCCTGGCTGTCTCTGCCCCCCCACCCCCACCCCCAAGCCGACTCTGGCAGCGCAACCCACCTACCAGTAGGAGTTGATGATCTTGCAAAAGGCCAGTTCGCAGCACATCTTCAAGTTGCTCTGATGCTCCAGGAGATCCGAGGAAGAACATTTGCTGGGATCCACCTCGCAGTTTTCGTCCGACTCGTACAGCGCCTTGATGAACTCGCCTGTGAGCCGCAGGGAGGAGAAAGAAAAAATACGGAAGCCAGTGAATTTCCCCATCCCCGAGATTCTGGGGGAAGCCAAGGAATGAAAGTGAAGAGCTCCTTCCAGTGTCAGCCCCCTCCCCGTGCCCAAAACCACACGGCTCCATTTCATGTCACCCCTGCCTGTTCCTGCCCCCCCTCAGAAATCGGCTTAGAGATGAGCCGGAAGCCGGGCAGAGAGGCAGCCGAGGGCCACCTGCCTTCTGGTGACTCCTGGCTATGAAGAGCCGGGAAGGCTAGGAGAAGACCTGGTTTGGATGGGGAAGGGCTGCCGAGCCCCCCCTGTCCTCAATGCCTCTTGGCTGGGGCTGGAAAGCTAGCATCTCAGGGGGGAAGTCCCCGCAGGCAGCAACTCAGCTCTGCAAAGGATGGGACTGGGGAAGCTCCACCTCCAGTGAGGCCAGGTTCCACAGCTGCTGCCCCAAAGCTTGGGGGAATCCCTTAAGGGGGGGCGGGGAGAGGGCAGGATCCCCCCCCTGCCTTACCCAAGGCATCCTGCAGGTACTTCTGGCCCACCAGCTTCAGGTACTCCTCAATGGCTTTGGTGGCCAGTGTGTTTTCCCGGAAGATCAGGTGCTCGTTTTCCCCACAGCGGTCGACCTCGGACATCATGAGGTCCGTCAGGAAGTCCTGGGAAGGAGAAGGTCCGTTGGGGTGGGAAAGTTCCCGGGGCTGGTGGGTGGCAGGGGAACAGCCAAGCATAGAGGGCACTGCCTACCCCAACCCCATTCACCCCCTCCCTCTCTCTCTCTCCCTCCCTCCCTCTCTCTCTCCCTCCCTCTCCCCTCCCCCCCTCTCTCTCTCCCCTCCCTACCACAGGGCCTCTAAACAGCCTGCCAATCACCTCCAATAGACCGATCAGATCCCACAGATTAGGCCTCCTCCGAATTCCATCCGCCAGCCAATGCCGACTGGTGACTACCCGGAGGAGGGCCTTCTCTGTGGCTGCTCCGACCCTCTGGAACGAGCTCCCCGTGGAGATTCGAACCCTCACCACCCTCCAGGCCTTCCGCAAAGCCCTTAAAACCTGGCTGTTCCGACAGGCCTGGGGCTAAAGAGTCTTTGCCCCCCTTCTCGAATGGTATGGTTGTTGTGTGTTTTTAAATTTTGTATTGTTATGTCTTGTCTTTTTTTTTAATCCCCCTGTCTGTACCCCCTTCCCTGATTGAACTGTGAGCCGCCCTGAGTCCCCTTCGGGGAAAAGGGCTGCATATAAATGTAATAAATCTAATCTAATCTAAATCTAATCTACTTTCAAATTGGTTTTATTTCCTGGCTACAGTCAATGGACTCCTCTCCCTGCCTGTCTCTTTGGCCCACAATCCTGGGACAATTTGGGGTGGAGTAGGATCACTTTGCTGCTGGACCGATGTGCTGGGAAAGCCCCCGCCCCCCGCACAGCACCCACCCACCCACCCTCACCCACACAAACAATAGGCCAAAGAAGGGATGGACTTCTGCATCACGGCATCCCTGCATGTCAAATATTTGGGGAGCAGCAGCCCCCCACCCAGTTTAGGCTGGGCTGGAAGCTGCTGTCCTCCTCCCGGGGGTGGGGAGGGGTTGAAGTCGATGGGAAGCGCTGGGAAAGGAGATTCTTCTGAAGAACGGAGTCCAGGGTCCACCCCCCCCTCTCTCCTCTCCTTCACCTGTTCCTCCCCAAGTAATTCTGCAGGGACAGGAGGGGGGGGGTCCTCACAGGTTTGCCCCTGCTTCCCCTAGGCCGCCTCTTTCCCTGCTTCAGCAAATGCCAGCCATCTCCCCTAAATGCCCCAGCCCCCCCCCCCCAAGGACAGGGGGCAGCCTGCTTCTCTGGAGGTAGCAGCCCCTCCACCCAAGGCTCAGTGGGGCAGTGCCACGCCCGGGAATATCTTAAGGGTTGTAGGGAGGGTGAGGAATCCTGTCACTGACCCGCATGGAACTCCGGTGCCCATCAGCCTAATCCATGCCTTGGCTCCAATAGCTTACTATGTCAAGCTCTCCCCTTGAAGCCACGTGGAGCCCCCACATGCTAAGGCAGCCTATCTGAGGAGCAGCTTTGCCCATAAGAGCAGAAAGCACAATGCAGTTTGCATGCGTTTCACATCCAGCTGGCAAGGGGGAGGCACAGGGGCTCTGCAGCAGCTTCAGGGCTCCCAGGCGAAGGGGCCCCAATAGGGACCCCCAAAAAGGCTCCCTCAGGGACCAGATGGAAGAGGTGGGGAGGATTACAGGTGCTAACTCCCTGGCCGCCACTCAGGCTTCACAGCAGAGCAGATGACTCCCGAAAGGAGGACCTTGACTGTGCTCGTAAAATTGATTAAAGCCATAATTAGCTGGACTAACAGCTCTTGCAAGAAATATTACCCAATCCCCCTCCTCGCTCTGAGAGGAGGGGGCCGAGCGGAAGGCAGCCGCCGGGGGCCGGTGGGATTTACAACTGGTCAGCAAACTCCAGCGCTCTCTGAAGTGTATACAAGGCGGAGGGGTCCTTGTAAGGGATGGCTACACATTCCTTCCGGCGAGGAGGGGTCCTGAGAACGCACCTGCCTCTGGTTACCCCTTTTGCAAATGCCAAGCTTTGCCAAGAACTTCACACCCTCCATCTTTTATGGGTACAACTCAGAGGTGGGTTCCTACCGGTTCGCACCGGTTCAATAGAACCGGTTCGTCAAATCTACCGAACCGGTTAGAAGAGGTTCCACCAGTGGACTCAGAAAGCAGGCCACACCTACAGAAGAGGTTCCAAAATTTTTGGAAACCCACCACTGGTACAACTGTTCTGTGACAATTTAATTCAACCCCGCAAAGTCAAAACGATTCAGGGGACGTGATGGTTTGCAGGCGCCAAGGATCAGTTGCCCAAGCTGGGCCAGAGCTGGGTTGGTCTCCTTTCAGGGCGTGGGCCCTGTTCCCCGTGGGAGTGAGTGAAGCCTCCCCATCCTCACCTTGGCTTTTCCCGTGCTCTGCAGGATGTGGACCAAGGCCGAGGCCATCTCCTCCTTGTTCTTGACGCTGAGCATCGGCTCCAGCACGGAGCAGAGGACCATGTAGTTGTTGGTGACGTACTCCGCAAACTCCTTGTACGTTTCCATGGGGAGCACGCTCATGCTCTGGTAGCGCGACTTGATGCGGATCATGGGCCCCCCGGATTTGCCCTTGCTGGGGTTGGGCGTCACCACCGGGTACCACTTCTCCACAAACTGGCGCCCCGTGACGGAGCCGGCCGGGATGCTGACCATCCCGATGAAGTTGGTCTTGTCTTTCTTCTTCTTCTTGTCCGTCTCCTTGTACAAGTGCACGGCGATACTCCGCAGGGGCGGGAGGTTGTTGAACTCAAAGTGCTCCCCCCAGAAGACATTGTCCGTTTTCAGCTTGCAGGTGGTGCGGGCGTAGAGCGCCTCATCCAGGCAGAGTTCGCACAGGTAGCGCTTCTTCGCGGGCAGTTCTTTGGCTTCAATAATCCACAGCTGGAGCATGTTCTCGACTCGCCGACTGTTGTCCTGGGAAGGAGATGCAGAAGAAGTGACTATGGGCTTACCTACCCTGCATAGACACGTAAAGGGATCTTGTAAGGCCAACAATTTGCACCCTTGGGAATTTTTATCCATGTTCCTAACAAAACAACTTCTGGAATATTCAGACTCATCAGAGAAATGTCCCACTTGGGTCAAGACACTTGTGCAAATAATGCCATTTACATCAATTATATATAGATAGACTAAACTGACACCAACAGTGTACATTTGTATTTAACAGACGCTTGTATTTAATGGACTCTTAGATTTAACAGACACGAACCTTTTCCAAAGCATTCAATGAACTGACATTCTACCAGACTCCGAGGTCTGTTATCTTTCTAGCCTCCTCCTTTAAAGGAAGTTGGAAAATTGGGGAGAACAAACAAGGGGCATCTTGCCAAAGACCTCCCCCCAACACTACCTTGTTCGGGTGCACCGCTCGTCGCAAATTCTCCATCCATTTGTCGCGTTCTGCTGCAGACCGGCAGGAAAAGCATTTGCTCCCAGACGATGTGGTCACCTGGGAGAGGAGAGAGAGAGAAAGAGAGAGAGAGAGATTGAGAAAGAGAGAAATTGAGAGATTGAGAGAGAGACAGCGAGAGAGACAGAGAGAAAGAGAGAGAAAGAGAGAGAGAGAGAAAGAGAAAGAGAAAGAGAAAGAGAAAGAGAGAGAGAAAGAGAGAGAAAGAGAGAGAGAGACAGAAGGAGAGATAGAGAGAGAAAGAGAGAGAGAGAGAAAGAGACAGACACACACACAGAGAGAGAGAGAGGGAGAGAGGGAGAGAGAGAAAGAGACAGACACACACAGAGAGAGAGAGAGAGGGAGAGAGGGAGAGAGAGAAAGAGACAGACACACACAGAGAGAGAGGGGGAGGGAGGGAGAGAGAGAGGGAGGGAGAGACAGAGAGAGGGAGGGAGAGAGAAAGACAGAGAGAGGGAGGGAGAGAGAGACAGGGAGAGAGACAGGGAGAAAGAGAGAGAGAAAGAGAGAGAAAGAGAGAGAGAGAGAAAGAGAAAGAGAAAGAGAAAGAGAAAGAGAGAGAGAAAGAGAGAGAAAGAGAGAGA